CCCTACGTTGTAAAATTCGAGGACGAGCTGAGGAAACTTTTCCATTTAACGCAACTCACCGATCTCTGATGGAGAAAGAGTGAGATGTTTACTTTTCCAATTTGGGACATAGAATTTTCTAGGAGACCTAATAATATGATTTTACAAAGTCCCTAAATATCATAAGAAAATTTTGTTGAAACGACTTACATGTTTTTAAAATCTTGTCTATATTCATTTGATACTGATTAATAATTTATCAATTATAATTTGGTCCCATTTAATATTTTATTTAATAGCAAAAAGTTGAAACTTCCGATGATTTGGCGCCCAACGTGTGGGTGCTGTAGAGTTCTTAGTATCAACGAAATCTCTCAGTATTAAAGAACTCTTTCGGTATTCAAAAGTGTAGCAAAAAATTCGCAGGTTTGTTAGGATGAAAATAGATAAATTAATGGGTAATTTACCGTATTTAAGGAAGGATTAAACTTATCAATTTGACAGCGATCGGGAGCTTGTTTACATTTAAGCGACAATAACACAAAAACCTCAGTTACTTCTTACAGTAATTTTTATAAATATAACGATACATGTTAAAGACTCAATTTGGAGCCCAACGTGCTGATACTGCAGAATATCTGTCGGCGATGATTCAGAAGTATAATAAATAATTCAGAAATTTCAATTTTATCAGGACGAAGGTTGATAAGGAGTGGGTAGTTTACCGTTTCTTGACAGTTTAATATCATAGTGGCGAAGGATTAAATTTATCGATTTCGCAGCAATAAAAAACGTGTTTGGGTGTTGTCACTTAATTGGATTTAACTCCGAACACCTGCAATACGTTTAGGCGACGCCAGCTTGCAAAAACAACGCGTTATAATTACAAAACCCCCAAATTACCTCTTACAAAGCTATATTCATAAACACGATAATTCAGTAATTTATTAGTACAATAAAATTGTATGCTATGAATGAAAGTTCATTTTATGAAGTATATTTTGATTTTACTTGGTAAGTAAATAGTATTAACTCTCCAAAGATTTGGCGCCCAACGTGGGACCACTCTGGGCTCATAAATTGAAAGTTTTTAAGTGTTTATAAACTTTTTGCTGCAAATGACGATTCAGAAGTGTAGTAAAAACACTACAATTAAATAGATAACGAGCAGGTATGCTCTTATATTCCAATTAATATCATTTTTAACTTCAGGGGAATTTTGTTCTAGTCTGGAGCCCCGCGCGGCGTTATTTGTTTCCGCAGGCGCCCCCAAACCCACCCCATCGACCAATCTAATGAGCGCCCCAAACCGAAACAGTAAAAATCGACTGAGAAATGAACAGACATCTCCACAGACCGACGCTGTAAATAAAGTTTCCCGACGCTGCGTCTCCTCATTCCGGAAGACGTCTATTCAGATGAATGCTGGCAAGAGCTCATGCCCTTGCCCACAAAAAACGATAGGTATCTATATATCTCCCGGGATCCGTAGAGTAAATAGTGTTTTTAGTTTTTCCACTTGCCACAACGGCCGGAGCAACCAATAAGATCGATTTAGCGGCAGAGGGGTGCTTAAGGTTATTTATACCCCTCGTTCCCTTCTCTAATCCCCGATATTCCGTTTTTTTTTTGACAGTGTATAGGGACGGGGTCTCGCGTATATTGGGGCTTCGGATCTCCTCAATTTGCCTGACAATATCTGATTTTGCAGGCGACGAGGGCACGTCGAGCTGTATAAAATTTAAATTTGCAAGAAAATGCAACTTCCTTACTTCTTACAGTCAGTAAGCACTTCAAGAAATAAGTGTATCGATCGGATACTGAAGCTATAAAAGGAATATAAGGGAAATTGTACACTGTTTCAAAAAAGGCGATTGTTTTTTTTTTAGTTTATTTGATTAAGTCCCCTGGCCGGTATTTACATGGCTGTGTGAACTCTTTCCGGTACGTGTTTAAAGTCACTGGCCTTAAGGTGATAGACAGTATCAATACAATCGATAATAATAAAAATGGTTTTTCCCTGATTTAAAAGGAAATCTTGACAGTTGTTTTGCGTACACTCTCAGCTACACACTCTCCGTACAACAGCGGTCCCAATACTGAACCTTGGGGTACACTGAACGAAACTTTTGTAGGATATATCATGCAAACTACCATAAATATGTACATTAAAAAAAAATGTCATTTCAAAAGATCTAATACTTTTAAGGAACATCGGAAAGATATTGGGTAGACAATCTTACGCTTTTATAGTCTTAATAAAAAATGAGTGAAACCATAAACAACATAAAATATTCACTTTCAAAACGTACGCCCGAACGATTCCAAACTGGTATTTATAAATAAATAAAAACACAATCCGCATGAGAAGAGTGCAGAAAAGCTATCTTTGCTCGATCACGTACTCATGTTTATCCGATACGACACCATGGGGCCGTCGAATCAACGGCATGACTATAAACATTTATGGGTGCTACTAATAGAGTCCTAGCTTTATAGAAAACTATTCTGGGGACTACAGCTCGATAGCGCCCATCCGATTTTATCTAAAAAGGGAGCAAAGTTGTGCATGGAAATAGAAAATCAGAATGCAGCAGACTGGTATCGCCGTTACCACTAGGTCAGCTGTACGAATGCACAGTTTCTGCAGAAAATAACAAGACAGTAGAACGAATTTAAGGAAGCGTATCAATTTGTAAGTTGCCTATTTTTTCTTTAAGACCGACTAGATTTCAGGAACACATTTTACGAAATTCTGATCGTTCATTGATCTCCTGTTTAGTGGAAACTTTGTTTGAAAAATCATGCTATGCATTTGGAATATTAATTATATGGCATATAAATTAATATATAAATATCGGAAGTGGGTTATATGCACTACATTTCAATTAATAAAATTAATTTAAATAGCCGCGTGAATATTCATAACCAACAACAAATTAATTTTGTAAATAATTAATATTTTAAATTCGGTTGTATTTGGATTCAATTAGTACTATAGCGATGAATTTGCTGCCTCACTTGTTGTTACTCGCGAATGAATCATATTGTAGTTCTATTACCGAATAAGAAGTGTCCGAATGGCATAAAATGCAAAAAATTCTCCAATATTATTAACTTGTAACTGTAGAGTGATTAGAAAATAATTTACATATTATTTCGTTGTAAAAATCTGCGGACTTCGTTTAACGTTCCACCTAACCACTTTTACCGGGTAAATCTCCAAGCGGCCGGGCCATTACAAAGGTAAACGCTCAGTTTTACGGGTATTAATTCAAACCCCGCCGCAGACCCAAATAATACCTCGGAACCGATCCTGCCGGGTGTAGCGAGCTTTATATATTCTCTTCCGCATTCAAAATTTTAACAAAATAAAACAAGGCTGGTCGGAACCGAGTGCCGTGTTCTCTTATTTTCAAAATAAATATTAAATTCGCGATGGCCGTCATTCTTCACTGTCCTAGAACAATTTATTCAGCTGTCAGGAGGAGACGGACAAAAAGTGAGTCGCGATTTCCTTACCTCTCGAGTAAACTCGCGCCCGGTGTCTGTGTTAATAATAAGCGTGGATATTGTGTGTGCTTTTTGGCAGATCCTAGTAGAACGTGGAACTTTTAGTCCTGTAATATAATAAATATATTACGCAGGATTTGAATTGTGCACCATTTTTATTTTGTATTTAAACATCATTCTAACATACTCGTATATGTAAGTATTCAAGTAGGTGTACAAAAAAATAATACTATTACCTAATAATTAAATAAATTTGTGTCGAGCAAATTTTTCGGGTATCTAATCACATACATCGATATTACCCATCCATATCAGCAAAACAAAAGAAATCTTGACTATATTAAAATTTATCTTATTAAGAGATAATCTAATTTTTTCAAGGCTGATCTGATGTTTACTTGTACAAACAATAATAAACCAAGCAGATTAATTCAAGTGTATGTATACAGATGCAACTAATATAGTTTTGTTAAATGCATGTCGATTTAAATTATTTTTACAATTCCGCTATTTGGAAACGAAAAAAAAAACCTCCACCGCCTTATCAGTACCTACGACATTCGGAATCCCTAATAACACTTACAGATAATTAATTCTAGTGAAACAAGACTGACGTACGAATTTTTAAGTGGATCAGTTTCCGAAGCGATGCTCAGATTCCGGGGAAAACATCTCATAAAAAAATGTCAGTCACTTTCCGGATAAGATACTTGGCATTAGTGAAATATTTTAAAGAAGGGCTATATATAATTTTCTTTGTTATAAGCCGACATTTTCTAGATCTAGTTCAAACAAAACATTTCCACAGTCATAACATGAATCATTTTTCAAATACAGGGTGATAAAATATCGCTAACTGCACTGTTTCCTGTGAGGAACATGACTTGTCATTCCCTCTCCACTCCAAATTTACTCTTTTGCGTCATATGGTTTAATTTGATGATATAGAGTAGAATTTTATTGTGCTTTAGAAAGCTCTGTCCTCTTTTTTCTCTAAAAATTGCATTATTTAAATATTTTTAAGCCACGTTACAGAGCGCTGAAACCAAATTTCACCGGGCTCTGTGTTCCATAGTATTAAATTAGTTGTATGCGTTGAAAATTCGGCTGTATAACGTTTTTGACGCAGACCCGCCAAGGCTTGCTGTGTACGGAAAACCAGTTAACCTCGCGATTACTCCGAAACATTTTAGAATTGAAAATATCCCAATTAAGTGCGCCTAGAGCTAGCTCCTAATTAAAGCCGACAGTCAGCTCTATGTGTAGAGTTAGGGACTCTGTTACAATTAGAAAACGGTTTACGTAGAACTAACACTGAGAAGGGACGGTGTAGTAATATTATTCAATACATATAAATTGCTATTCTCTTACTACACAATTTGAACAAGCAGTGGTGGTGTTGTATTCGTATTTGGTGCCACCCTGTAGGGTCTCCCCGTTGTTTTATCACTTATCGATAGGCAAGCGATTATCACCGTCGTTTTATCTTAAATTCGCAATAGCGGTCCCATCGGTAATGATGTGCAGTTGATATTCCTTTCAATAATGAGTAGGTGTCTCGACAGGTTAAGGTACAGATGCTGTGATTGTAGCCTTAAGACTTTTGGGTTCGTGTATGGTTGGATGGGAGTGGTAAGTTTTTATTTAACTTTTTTACTCTTGTTCTCAAGAATCAATTCAAAACATCATCGAAACTGTTACACTACTAAATGGCTAGGAAGAGGAAAAAATGTTATTTTATTATATGAAATAGGTGTAAGATTTATTTCAAAAAACGTATGATTTTGGTTGATTACAAGACGGTGTATTAAAAAGATTGTATAAAAATAACAACGAGAAAAATTGATTTATAACTAATTTACGATTATTGCTTTTAGATTTATAAGCATCATCACGACTTCTATTATTAGTTTAGCTCTAAATACTGTATCCAATCCAGTAAAAATTCTTAGGATTCGTAAATCAAGGACACGTCCTTTTTTTTCACTTAATTTCAAAACTATGAGCAGTATCTTAACATATATTCCAAGCTTCCACCAGTTTATATTGCAAAATTCTGTCCATAGATTTGGAAATAAACTAGAAACGCTTTGTTTATTTTTGTTACAGATCCTAAGGATTGTCGTAACTATGTTCTTGGCAGTAACGCTTTCAAGGATAACCGATTACGACCATGACATTTTCGCAATAGGCCTGATCACAGCTTTGACTTATGTACAAGTCTCACTAGTCAGTTGCCTGTTTTTTATAATAGGGATCCAAAAGGTAAATATAATCGCAATAACCGGAACTGCAATGAAAATTTGGAAAAGTAAACGCCTACGCGACCTTCAACCGTAACACGTATATTTTTAGTTTTCTGGGTAAATCATTAGATAATAAGATAACACTTTAAATAGTATTCCATATACACATACGATGGGATCAATATAAATTTTGTTAAGTAGATTAGCACTATCTCATTAGTCTTTATACAAACAGACGTTTAATAAAGTTAAGTTGCAGTATAAGCTAACGTTAAGCATCTAATGTCTAGAAAACGTCGATAAAATGAATAAAATCGACGTCGCAAAAGCGACATAGGCCCAATGATAGTTATTAAATTTAAATAGTGAGGTCAAAAGTTTCTGAGATCAGCGTCAACGTCCTGATATGGGTGTTGGTACAGAATTGGTTATAAATTCGACGAAATCGACGTTATGAGCTTTACTTTTTAATATCCTGAGAAGGAGTTTTCATACTTTTCTTATATTTAAAAAATCACTGTATTCCATATTAATTATATTCTGACGTTATCCAACGTCGAAAAATAGTCGAAAAATTAAATAACATAGACGTCGCAAAAGTGACGAAAACTAAAGTTCTTAACCTTTTAACGTCAATATCGCACAGTCGTCACTGTTAGATTAAAATCCCGACGTCGGTGTTGGTACAGAATTGGTCGAAAATCTGACAAATTCTGCGATTCGGGCCCTTCTGTTTAATAAACACGATAAATTGCAGCTTATTTAAGGAGAGGACTTTCGTATATTAAAAAAAAACTCACTTTTTCACGTGCTGAATAAATTTCGGCGTCTTTCCGAGGAAGAATTATTTAAAATGTGAAACTTCCAGGACACTTTTCCGGGAGATAGACCCTAATAAAAATTCCGGAGTAATTTTAATATTTCCAGCGCCGAGCGACCCATCCCCCGCTTAGCAAAAACAAAGAAGTTTTAATAACGAAAGAGGTAGCATAAAACCGAGTGATAAAAACAGTTATTCACATTCGCTATTGATTCCTGCCTGTATTTTTATGCGCCATAACTTTTTATTTTTCTCGTGCGGGGCTTTCATTAGGGCATTTGCATCCTAGGTAGGGCGGATATTAACGCTGGGGACATAAAATCGAATCACAACGTATCGGCCTCAGTCGAATGCGCCTTTTTTATATCTGCCGTAAGTTATTAAGATTTATCCGGTCGTAAAAATATTGCAGGAGTTTAAAATACAATGTCTTCATGCCGCTGACTCGCCCCTAATCACCCAATCCAATTTTTTTAATTAAATTCGTATCTATACACTGAGAAAACAGTCCGTTAGATGATTTAATTCTTTGAAATGCAGTCGGAGGTCCTAGTACTATTAAAACAGTATGAAAATGTTAATCTGGACTGTTTACACAAATAGGCTATTTTGAGTACGTGTAAGATGGATGTAGATAATAAACCACGGTAATGAGAACACCACAGAAATCACACACAGTAATACTACAGAAACTGGTATTTGTCAAACCCCTCATCGCCTTTCTGACGTTACATTAATTACAGCGAAGCACCCAAATTTATAATTATTACACTAAGAAAACAGGTTCATTAACAGAATTGTATTATTTTCTTATAATATTTATATCCCCCGATAACAATAATAATTTTATTTAATAAATTTAGATATATTTCGACTAGCTTCTATTATTTCTTCTTTCTTGTAGGACAAACCGTACTTTTTGCTTCCCTATACAGTCATAGGAGGCATGGAGTTAGCTCTTGGACTTGGAGTATTTATCTTCATCACGGTGATCTTTAGCAAAACCGTCTGGAAGTATCTACTCGCTGCTTTCATCCCAGTGAGCTTGCTAATAATGGGTGAGCAGAGCGATTTGTTAAAATTTCAAATAGATTTTGAAAATGTTCACTGGATTTATAGTAAATCTAGATTCAAAACAAGGCGTCTACGAAATATTTTTAATAAATGAAATATTAAATCTAAACTAAGTCCCGAGATTGATTCTTTATCCAGTTATTCTAGACATAAGAGTATTGAAAACACTGATAAGAATCCCATTAAAATTATATTTATATGTTTCTGAATGATCTCCATTTGAAAGTATCAAAAGATTAGCGATTTATATGTTTATTCTGATAGTCGATAAGTAACGAAGCTTGTAAATTATTTAAAATGACAGAAATACGATCTTTTAGCAACGTGTGCAAATAAAAATAATGTCAATTTAGCTTTTTATCTTTATAATTACAAACCTTAGCGAACTTTTATTTGCGAATAAATATATCTGTCTAGAGGGATAGGTACTTTATCTTTGTGTAGAATTTTGTCAATTTTTTTTATCAGAAGCCACAAAAAAAACTGGCTCTGCCAGGGAACTTTCCATAACGATTCGCAGATAAGCACAGTACCTGGCATTAAAGAAGGATATATCAAAATGTTGCACCAGTACGTGAACGGGTATAAAAATAATATATAGCTGTCAGCTTGCGAGGCCTCATTCATCACTTCTGTATGAATAGTGGCCAAGTATAAAATGAAAAAGTTTCCGCCCTCTAAAATAACTCCCCCAAGATACCACTGTTATCAAATATGTTACATTTTCCAACATTTCGACTTGTATCAAGTCATTAAAACTACCAAAGTATCTAAATATTTTTTGTTTTTCTGTGACGACTGATTCGTTGTATATAAAATCTAACAAGTGGGGCTGTCAGAGAGAGAGAGCCGCAATTAAATGGCGTGCCAGAATGCTTTTCACGTTCACCTCACGATAGTATACTGTTGCCTTATCGTAAGGATGTTGCGTAATTAATTTCTATCCATTGGTGTATTGTAGACAACTTAATTTGTTGCTTTTTGATAAATAATTATAAATTACGCTTAACATGATGCCTGACAGCCTTACTAATAAGAAACGTTTCGCAACTGACTAAATTGTAGCAAGAAATTTCTACGAAATAAACCGTTATACTTCTTTACTCATTAGTATAAAGTCTATATATTTAATTTTAGGAATTTACATGTATTTCTGGATAAAATCCATTCAGCTGTTCAGACAAATGGAGATAGATGTTAGCAGGAAAATAGAAGAGACTGCCAGGATAGAAAGTCTAAGACAATCTCTTGCTCTTTATTGATTTTTAGCCAAAATGCAAGAGCCTTACTTGTTCTGATATAGTTATACTGTAACTCAGGGGTTCCCAAACTTTTTTAGCTGCGTATCAATAAGAGCTAAAAGATTCTGTTATCTTTAAACAACTAGGTATCTTGTCTGTCGGTTTAGATATCTTTTGACTTCATCTGATAAGATTTTCTAGAAAAAATGTTTTGACTTCAAGTAAAGACAGCTCTAAGATATTTTAGTCGCGATCGACAAGTTGGGGACTGCTGACTGGTTATTAACTGATTCTCTGATAGTCACATAAACTGAAGACTGATATTTATTGTTATTAATAGTTTGTAGGTAATAAAGTGGATTTGCTACTAATTTTTTTGTTTGTACACGTTATTTTTTTTACCTGGGTAATATTAAAGTAACTGGAGATACGAAGCCATAGCGAAAGTCGATTTTAATTGGATGCAAGTTTCTTATTTTTCAGCTTACTTTAGAAGGATGCAGAAAAATATTAAGAGCTGTAATGAGTTTAGAAATTTCAGGGGATTGAAGTTCTAGCAGTAATATTTAATATAATCTCGAATAAATACCTAGCGCAATGCGTTTGAAAATTATGAAATTCTTTCTGGAAAATACGGCGTTTTATTTGCCTTATCGTTTATTTCAGAGATGGCTTTGTAAGGTGTAGGTGGAAACTGTTGTTGATGCAGATATTTTGTAATGAAAAAGTCTTTATTGCTGATGTCAAATACCAGTAAGTCAATTTCAATAAAAGAATACATGTCTGTTATGTAAGCTGCAATCCCATTTTGCATCTAGTACCTTTTAGTTAAATATTCGCTCTAATTGAAGATAACTGAAGGACGATCTAATCTGTTAATATTTATCAATCATTAAAACTTTATTGTTACTGTTAGAATTCACAGCCGGATTAACTCCAAACATCCAATATGTGCGAAATTGTTTGAAAAAGTAGCCACTTTAATTTCGCAATCGAAATTAATGTAGTTGAAATCTCGGGGTAAATCGTCTTGAAATACAAAAGAACGCAGCTGAATTTAATAGTATTTGGTCGTCGCTAGCGCCGTTTTTGGCACTTGCTCGACTGGTTGAATTTCCAAATGAAACGTATTGAGAATGGGACGTTGCTTGTAAATCAACTATTCTAACATGAGTATACCGGGTATTCCCGGACACACTGATCAAATGAGCAGATTGTTTTAAATGGAATTATTTGCCGTAAATTTTATTCTATTCAAATGCATTCAAATGTTTCTTCAAACGATGTGAAATATTTGCTGTAACCTATAATTTTTCTTAGAATTTATATTATTTGTAAATATATATAATTTAATTCAAATTCTTTATATATGATACTATGACACTATAATGCTATGATATTTGTCCAGATCTATGGTACACTTCATATTTTTCTTTGATAAGTTGAGAATCACCCTATATTTAAGGGTTTAACTAATAAAACTTGAGTAAATGACCACCCCAGTACATATTTCATCGAATGAGAGCTCGTGTTCGAACACACACCTGGAAAACACCCCAATCCACCCGAAATTATCCTTAACTCCTCGCTGGTACAAAATTTCTCCGAATTGGATGCCGCAAATTGAGTCAAGCTCGAGGCACAGCGACGTGAATAGGTTTGTTTCCGTTGATTTATAGACTTGCAGACCAATTTTGTCGCCGCGCGCCTCGCGGCTACTTCATTTACAAATTCTTCCCCAGAAACAACGCCCGAAGGTCGCCTTGGGCGGCCATTAACGCGTCAATAAATAATGCCAGTGGATTTACGAAGACGGATCGGTTTTGTCCGTCACATTTTAAAGTAGTCTTTTGCCAGAGACAGCAAAAAACCCCAGGGCTGAAAAAATCCTAATTCATTTAGCCCGTCGAAGAAACGCTACTTCCAAATAACTATACAAGGTGTCCTGCTTTTTTAACTAGTCACTTTTGAAATTGAACATTCATATTACGAATACTACAGAGAAATTATTTGCACAACTCCACGGAAAAAATTCATTGAGTGATAGATAGGGTCTCTGAATCCGAATCCGGTGCCGTTTGACGAAGTTAGATTAAATGCACAGTACAAGTGTTTGAAAAAACCGTCACGTGATGAATGTTCAGTGCCAACTTTTTAAACACATCGTCCGGTACAGGAAATTAATTTGTTTCAATCAGAATATAGATTACTTTTTCAATTGTTTCCACTATTGACGAATAAAATTAACTCTGCATTCAGTTTGGCCAGTACCTTGCCGCACTATATCGAAATGCGTAAAAACCATCACACAAAACTACGGCCTGCGGAATACATAAATAATGGCTTTGAACAGATTACTGATTGACACGATTCGAATAATACGCGAATTGATTATGAACAAATAAATGAAACTTCAGTTTTAATTGAATCCGTTTCGGAAAAATCCAATGCAAATTACTGAAACATTAACACTGACGATAAATCTAAGCAGTGTGCCCTATCTAGCCCGCACGCTCGCCTGATTTATATCACCAATTTTAAAAAAATAACAGATTCGCGCCAAATTTGCTATAGGGGGGTTTCGGGGTCGATGATCACAGATCCGAGGTCAATTTTGCAAAATTCAGTATGCCGGATCCAAGATGGGCGACCAAATTTTCAAAAAATAACACATTCGCGCCAAATTTGGTATACGGAGGTTTTGTCTATAAAATGCCGTTAATTGCGCACTATTCCGTTACTTCTATCGCATAGGAAAAAAGTAAAAAGCGAGGTATCCTACAACGGACATCAAAGCGCGCCACCAGCCCCACCGACACTGATCCGCGCTGTCGCCCCGTCGAAAATTATCACAACGGCGATTTGCATACAGCGTTGCAACCGTATGAACCGTATACTAATGAAATTGCAAATCCGCGCCGACACAATAACACGGCGGGTAAGCGTTGGGCAAATATAAAATTTCAATTATTGAGGATCCGTCCCAAAGTGAAAATACGTTTAGATAAGCAAATAATCCTCGTGTGCAAACGTGGTGTAGGACAGGCACAAATACGAGCCCAAGAGTACGTTCCATCGATTTGGTTAGTGTAAACAGCGGGGCCGAATTAGATTCCATTATGATTCGAAAAATTCGTTTCGGTGCGTGGAAATTACGGGAGACCGCATTCTCGGATCGCTCGCTCATTCAGAAGGGAACCCACGGTTCCGAGGGGTACTTTTCGCGGAAGGGTAAGTATCGAGCGGATAATGAACTGAAATGGCTTTAAATCTTAGTAGGAAAAGTGTATAACTGGAACTGATATACTCTGTCCTGTTATCAAATAAATTACCTTTGAAATGAATACACATAAAAGTTTGGCGCCCAACGTCATTCAAAATCTTGCTCTGCTGACGAAAGATTCGGTATGGTCAGGCCATTAGTTCGCAGAGTAGTTGTTTCACCCAAGATTTGTTAAACTACAGAGATACAAAGCAACCGACGTCCCATATTGCGAACCCTACGGTAGTATTTGCTTCCGGTCGTCATAAAGACACGACCGGCATGTCACTCTGCCGCCTTATCGCCGGTTAAGGATCGTCTGTACGCCCAGCAGTTGCACAAAAATGGCGTCTGGCGTGATCCCGGCCAGTTGGTGTAGCAGTTATGACATAATAGGCGAGAAATTTATCAGCTCGCTAGGGAACCGAACGGGCGATATTACTCCAGATCGAAGAGAGTTTTACTTACACCCATAATTTACACGTCCATCGATTCTCCAATTTAAAATTCTCCTTTTATGTTTGCTGCAAGTAATAAGGCCACCTGCACTTGATGGTTTTCAAATATTAAAGTTGTAATCAGACAGTATTTCAAAGTCGGCTGGCGCAGTCCATAGCAGTTGCACTTAATTGGAAATATGAGGATTCGCCACAGCGGCGGTATATTTTCATTATTTTCCTTAATAGAGGAACGAAGATTGCGAATTGTAAAACTGTCTATACGCTAGTGACCTTGTATCAATCATTTTATCAGTCGTTGATATGGTAGAAGTCCTCGTTAATAATCGTCAAAATGACGTTGAAACTACGTCGATGTATTGACCAAAAATCAACATTAAAGTTACCTTCACATATTCTCAATACAGGTAAAAAAAGACCGATATTGCAGGAAATCAAAAAATACGTCGACGTATACTTGAAAAATCACAACAAATCGACTATAAAGTATATTGATTTATTGTTATATCGGTTGAAATGGAATAAATATAAAAAGTAGACGTTCTATCACCAAAAATCGACGTGAAAAATACGTCGACTTTTATTAATTATTATTAATGATGAAAGACGTCAAATAATCACCATAATTCGACGACAAATAGTGAACAATAAAAGTATGTCGATCTTTTCTGTCATTGGAATCATGGTAGACGTCGAATAATCACGATAAATCAAGGTTAGAAATGCATCATTGTGTTTACCAAAAATCGACCGTAACGGCAAATGGAAAAAATCACGAATAATAATCAAAAAAAATTGGCGATAGAAGTACGTCGATTTTTAGAATCATCGGTAACACGGTAAACGTCGATTAATTACCAAAAATCGACGTTAAAAATACTTCGACATATTCTCGAAAAAACATAAAAAATTAACATTAGAATACGTCCAAATATGAATAATCACAAAAAGTTGACAATAAAAGTCTTTTTTTGTATTCATGATAGAAGTCGAATAATCACTAAAAATCGACCCTAGAAATACATAGATGTATCCACCAAAAACCGACGTAAAAGTTAGATCGTTGAATATACGAATAAAAACCAAAAATCGACTATAAAAGTACATCGATTTTTAGAATCGTTTCTATTACGGTAAACGACGAAGAATTATCAAATTAGGTTTTTTTGTATTTGTATACGACGAATGATTACCAAAAATCGACGTCAGGAATACTTCGGTATGTTCACCAAAAATGGATGCTATATCGATGTATTCGCAAATAATCACCAAAAATCGACGTTAAGAATACATCGGTATATTCACCACAAATCGATTGTACAGGTACGTCATATATTGCGAAAAATCATAAAAAAATGTCGATTTTTTGTATTTGTATACGACGAATGATCACCAAAAATCGAGGTACGTCATATATTGAGAAAAATCTTCAAAAAATTTCTATTTTTTTTTTATTTATATACGTAAATGAGCACCAAAAATCGACGTCAGGAATACTTCGGTATGTTCACCAAAAATCGACTTTAATGCTATATCGATATATTCGCAAATAATTATCAAAAATCGACGTTAAGAATACGTCGGTGTATTCACCACAAATGGATTATACAGGTTCGTCATATATTGAGAAAAAATTTCGATATTTTGTATT